ATTCCATCCGCGCGCTCCACACTCCAACGGACGATGCCAAAGTCGAAAGAGCTGTCAGCAGAAATCAGATTCAAAGTTGAGACTTTCCGCAGACTTCCTGCTATCAGCCGAGAGGTGCTCCGGTGAGGAATGGCTCGTTTCGTATCTGCATGGTAAAAGCCAGAGCAGCTCCCGCGTCGCATGACCATTGTTCGCGGTTTAGACCCTAGTCGCGTATGCCATCAATCTTCATCTGGTTGTTGAAGAATCTATATCGTGTGCGGGCCTATTGTCAGCGACCAAGGCTCGCCCGAACGACAATTGCGGGACTTTGTCGTTAGACAGACTTCAGTTGATTTGTGTCACACGGTCGGCGTCTTATACGAGAATTTCTTCGAGGGAGGGGAAAGTTCCTCAAGCAGCTCACATTGCACGGCAAGACGTAAATCCGTCTCGCCGTCTCTGCGAGCGTCGTCAACGACAATCCAACTGTCTGTCAGCCGAGCAAACTTCTTCTCTGAGAAGGGCCGAGTTAATTTTGGTCTTTTTCACGCTGTTATGGTTGGCTGACGGGGCGCCGCCGCGCGACAATGTGCTAGCACCGGAGGGAGTCGCCCGAGCGACCGACCGACTGACTGTTGAAGAGATTCGAGGCAACGAAGGGGGTCGTTTGGGGCCAAGTCGAAGTAGGGTTGATTCTCACTTGTTGACGTTTACGCCTCACGAGCTTCGGGGAGCCACGGACGAGTTGGCGCGCGGGCGTTGGCGAGGTTCTCGGTGGGGCTTTTATCTTTGCTGCTCTCCGCTCGCAGTTGGACCCACAGCCGAAGGGCCGCTCAACGTTGGAAGAGCAAGCGTGAAAAGAAAGAAGACTCCCCCGTCCCGGAGCAAAAGTCGAATGCGAAGATAGAGAGGAAGCAGAAGACCGAAAGCGTAACGAAGTCGAGCGGCATCCGTGAAGATATCGACCGAAATAAGTCCAATACACACCGGAAATAGAAAAGACGGAATCACTCGTTCCACGGGGGGGCTCGAGCACCTCCTCGAGACGGTGGTTGGGACGGGCATGGCGGGCGATTAAGAACCGGGAAGGGGGAGCACGGGGAGGGGCGACGGCCCTCAGTGAGGAGAAGCTTCCTTACAAAGTGGTGGTGTCATTTTAGCGTGCTGAGTTTCATCGCCGCGTCGCGCTAATCTTGAAGCACTGCCGAAAGCATCCCTTTCGGTAACCCCTCTTTCGGTAGCGCCGCGGCGTCACGCTCAACGTACGATGTCGCCGACGACGAAGAGACTTGATGAGGAACTCGGTGTCGGGGAGCACTCCGACGACGTCGACTGCCTTGTCTGAATGGGTGTTGGTTTCCTGGCAGGCGGGCAGACAAGGCGAGTCGAGAATCTCTACGAGTGCAACAGTCATTTATAAAACTTAGCGTTCCGTCGTTCATTTTCTCGTCCCCGAGGACGAACGTGCTCGCCTGCATGCCCGGCTGTCTGTCTGACGCTGTCCGTCTTAATGGTGGGGTGGCGGCGTGCCGTGACGTGCGCGAAGTACAACGTTACACAATCCGACCAAATAATGTTGTACGTTGCAGTGAAAGCTCGTCGCGTCAATTATATTTACGACTTCGGTCACTTCACACGGACACTCTCTCTCCGCCTACCCGAATCCACATCCCGCGTAGCGTCCGCGATTCTCGTTCCATTAATTTCGCTTGCGGTGCTCTGATTTCCATGGTGCTCGGTCGTCGATCTCGCGCCGGACCTTTTGAATGGAGAAGCACAGCACATGAATGCTCTTACTCCGTTCGCTTTCGCCTTCCACTCCAGTGTCGTTTCGTTCGTTTGCTCGCCGGCTCGACGGCTGAGCGGTCGGTTCCCTTTTCTTGCAACTCGGCGCGTGTCCCTCGGGACAAGGAAGGTTTTATTTATATTTGTTATCCGGACTCGCTTCAGACGGACAACTTGTGCACAAGAGCGGTCCCTGTTGACAAATTTATTTCCATAAAAAAACTCCCGTTGACGTTTTGCGACGCATCCCCGAAGCTGGCGATCCGGCGTATACGCTTTGCGGGGGAGACGTCACTATTTACGTTCCGTGAACGACTACATCGAATCTCGCAGCGCGTCAATCGGTCTGATGATTTCGCTCGAGTCTGGAACCCCTCATCAGTCCCGCGAATGAGTGCACGAGCACCGCCAACCGACACAGATCCAAGACGAGTAATTCGTGTTTTAACATTGCGGTGGCTAGAGTGGGACCTTCCGGTAGAAAACTTGACGGGGCACCTGGCGGAAAATCGAACGAGATCTCCACAGAAAGCCCCAACGGGAGTAGCCGCCCATCGTCGGGCATCTTTCGACCATCCGACCACTCGTCGCAATTTCTCCTCGCATTGCGGATGGAGCTGACTAGGGTGACTCCATCTGACGCTTTTGTCGAGCGCACAAAACTGCGCGACGGTACGATTCGTCCGATAGTCCCATTGAGGGAGGAACAAGAAGTTCAAGTCGCAACGATGGATGTGGATCGATGGCTCCTCGCTTCGTTAATCCACCGCATTCTCGAAAACGGCGGCGGAGTCGACAGGGGTCCTGACGTTGCGGACGGCGACTCCGAGCCGGGCAACTCCACTCACATCCGATTTGTTGAGGAGCTATATTGAAATTCTCCCCCTCCCCTCGGTGAATCCGCGGCAGCGCTGTCGTGAGAGGAGGGTGATTTCCGTGATTCTCGTGGAGATTTTCCCATCGGAATCTATCTACGGTCGGGCCTGCTCGCTTGCCGCCGCCTTTGATTTTCCCCTGAGCATTTTCTGTCGACGTGATCATCCTGCTACTTCTACTCGACAGGAATTTTTTTCATTGTTGGACTTCCTCGTCCGGCATCGATGCGCAAGCTCTCCAAGTAGTGTTCCTGTCCTGCTCGCAGAGGAGATTCTTGCAAAGTTCTCTACACGGAAATTAAGTTTCGAGAGCAAGCTCCGGGCGAGCATGACAACATAACTCTGTGCGCGCCGCTCTCCTTCTGTCTTTTTAGGTCTCCGAGAGTGAGATCGACCCGAACTTTTCGGGATCCCGACGGAACTTCCCCAGCACTCGGAGTTTGGGTCGAAGAAAATCCTCGGATGCAACAACGCGTTCACTGACGCTGCTCAGCCCAGCCGTACACTTTTGAATCCGGTGGGCTCGAGTTCTCCGAGAATGGCAGATCGAGTCTTCCCACTCCTGTCGGAATAAAAATTCAGAGCGCTCGATGAATGTTCGCTCAATCCATCGAGAGGATTATCCCAAGTTCCTCAAAGACCAGACCTCCTTGATCCTGGAAGGGGAACAGCGTCCGTTCCCGGATCTCCTTTTTATACCGTTTTCCCTGGGTCTGTGTCGATGGAGGATATAAAGCCGGGGCAGGTTATATGCAGATCAGGTTCTTCTCTCCGGAGGTCTAATGTTCATTGCGAACCAAAGTGTTCCACGTAATTCTGTGGTGCGCTCCGAGCTCTGCGCTAGCTCCCTACGGCGATACCTATTCTAGCAACAGTCTGTCTCGATCCGAAGCTTATTGAGCGCGGGGGCTTCTTGTGTACTCGACGCATTCACTCACTATGCACCCTCCAGGCGTTCGGTGTTTCTTTCGTAATCTGCTCACAGGATCAATTCGAGCTAACGCACTTGAGGCTCGTCTCAATTATTATCGTCGGTCATTTTGCATTCGGTCGCATGTACATATGGCTGGACCGATGTAATCCAATTACCAGTCATACGACCCGTCATTGTAGCCCGGGGCAACAATTGGACTCTGCGGGAGCTAGTTTTGTAAAACACTCGAAAGGGTGAACGCGAAGACAAAGCGAGCTTGAGAAGGAGGCGCCGCTCCCAAATGCAGTTGTTGATGACACGAGTGAGCTCCGAGAATTAATTACCGCGTCTGTTTGTCTTTTTTCTCCAGAGTAGTAGATTGTGCTCCGGGTGAAATCGCACGGAACACTTCTTGTTCGGGAGAGGGTTTCGGTTGAGTTACCGACAATGAGTTGCGCTTTAATCTATATGCTAATCTCCTGCTGTCATTTAGACCTGGCGGGCCCATTCATTTATTCATATGTCTCTGAGCTGAGCTCCGTTGCAAGCCGTTGCGATGACCGACCGACAACGTTCACAAAGCCATTCATTAGCGCTTCTCAACTTCCGGTGTCATTTCCGTTGCATCAAAAAGGGCGCGCGTTCCTGAACGCGCCCAAATCACTTTCTATCAATTTTCTACAGCTCACTCTCGTCAGCCAGCCAATCTGCCATCGGTCAGCAATGCGGTCGAGCATCCATCGGAGTGTGGGAAGTTTCGTTCGATGATGTTGCCGTTGTTGTTGATGTCGATATGGACGGTGTAGGGTTTCAGCCGATCTTGCCATCGTTGTTGTTGGTGTTGTTGTTGTTGGTGGATGAAGACTAGACAAAGCTAAAAATTTTATAAGAGCGCTACAGGCAATCCTATCGAATCGGCATGCGTCTTATCATGTAGCAAAGCTCTCCAGCGATAGCCCACATAAAAAGCTCTCACCACGTTTTTACGTGCGGCAGAGCTGGTGGAGATCCTAAAGTGTCGGAGCTGAGAGCGGACCGGTGACAAGACTGTGGACGGGTTGTAGGAAGGAGGAATGGGGGACATCGGATCGGGCTCGAGGGTGTTGTCCCTGCAAAAACAGTTGCGAAGCCGGAGGCTTCTCTGGGAAAGAGAGATCCCGAGCTTCAGATAGCGCACAGTGAAAGGGGTCCGAATATCCAATGCAGATTCACTTTGACAAATTGACGATGTCGTGACGATGAATCTGGCCTCTCCCAATTGTTGAACCGACAATCCTCGATTGGCGAGTCCGAATACAGATACGGAAAGTACGAAGGAGTTGATTGATTTTAGGGATTATCGAATAACTCAGCGTGACAATTCTCCACAGGGCAATGTTCCTCCGCTGAAGGTCACAATTTGCTGTGACACTGAAGTACCTAATTTTTTTTGTCCTTGCAGAAAGTCCAGACATGGTTCGGCACAATAAAGGCGTTCTAGTACACGATGGCGATCACCGCCGGAAGCACGTCACTTCAGACAGACCCGAGGGCTTTTGCTCAGCGTATGCGGGCACCGTGTGTTCGAAGGTAGGACTCGTTTCCCATCAGTCTGATCTACTGCGTTGCTGGAATTTTCACCTGCTTCAGCGAACTCGACGCTTCTGAGTCGGGAGGAAAAGGCACATAATCGATATTGACGATCAAAATCCTCTTTTGCAGTACCTGGGGAAAGCACCGCATCTCGTGTACTACGATATCCCCGCTGACCTATCGTCAGTGATGATCAACGAGCAAATAACAGCAGCTCTCTGGGACGAGCTCGTCCGTCCGCTTCAGCAGCCATGCAGAAATGCCGCTGAAGTTCTTTTATGTCATTACGCTTTCCCGAAGTGCGAATGGAAGGCGGGAACTGCTTGGGCGAAGCCTCTCTGCAGGTGAGTTTCCATCGCAACGACCATTAGTAAATCTCAGCTGTCGAAATGGAACCCGACGTCGATGTTATCCGCGGAAAAATTATATAATTTTCGTATGCGTGACGACCACACCTGTCAAAGTACGAAGAGGCGGTCCGTGGCATACATGCGAACGTGGGTGGAGATCAGAATCGAGAAGTGGAAGCACGAACAGACGACCGAGCAAGAGGGCGGCAGGCAAACGAGGTTGGCCGAAGCAGGCATGAGGTCGAACACGAGGTATCTGACCGCACACGGAAATGTCTGCGACTCTGACGGAGCCAAAACTTTCGGACTGAGTGATAAAATGATGGATAGAGATCTCGAGCCTGGGGCTCGAGGATGAGGCCGTGAGAATCTCCGAGCAAGTCGATGAATAGTCAGGAACAGATTGCTGCGAAGCTTCCATTCAGATCAGACCAGAGAAAAATCCCGAGCGTGAGGAAGGATGAAACTCCCCGTGCGGGATCCAGAGAGTTTTCGCAGAATCGCGCGTCATCCAGAAACATTGATCCGTTCTCTCTCAATCGCTCACTACTTTCGTGTTCGGAATCGCAGGGTCGAGCTCTTCATCGCATTCAGGCGACCAAGGTCTCTACTTGCGAAGGTCGGACCCCGAGCTTCCGCTGCCTTGACGGAAGGACGAAGGTTCTGAGTTTACCTCATCCAACACTAAGCTCATATCTCTGGCAGACTCGGCGCGCTCGGCCTAATTACGGCTTCCGGCAACAGCCGTCCACTATGCGCTACACAAGCTAATTCGCGGCCGCCTCCTAATGCAACATCAGGTGTGGCATGTCCATTCGGAAGAAGACGACAAACACTCTCGCTCACACCGAAGTTCCAAGCTGCAGGTCTTTCCTAGGCCTACCGTTGCTCCTGTCACCGTTCGATGTGTCCGAGTGAGCGAGCTTTGTGAGTGTGATTCAATCACCAACATTCCAGGGCTACCGAAAGCCTAACCAAGTAATTTCATTACACTCTGTACACAGTCGCTCGCGGACTCTTTCGGACGAGACACAATTCGCGAGCCCACCCCACCACCACGGAGCCGGTAAACAACAGACTTTTATTAGTTCTCGCCGTCGCTGCTGGCGTCGTCGACGCCTCCATCGCCGCTCCCGTCGTTGTGGTTCCCACCGACCGTCTGCCGGGAAATAACTAATTGTTGCCGGCGATGCGACCCGAGCTTGGAGCGCTGTTTTGACTCGGTTCACAGGACAATCCCTCCGGTACCCCGCTTGTCACAGTCTGGCAAATCTTTAATGACCTTTCAGAGTCATGCTGATACTCGGAGGACAGGAGAAGCAGGAGAGCTTCAAAACGCATTTCCGGAGAAGTCTGAACCCGAGCCGTACAGTTCGAGTAGGCTTTAGCTGGGCGGTTTTGAGCGGCAGGGAGAATATCACTTATCATGAGCACCCTGGGGAAGGCCTTGAGATTCGTTACTCTTTGAGGTTACCGCCTCGACCGATCTTATTCGCATAAATTCATATGTCTGGATTTTCCCTCCGTTTCTCCCCTTCACTATCTTGAGAGCTTTTAGCTGAGTCGACATCCGCTCTCTCCAAAGTTACATGTTGGAGAATAGGGGAATATGAAATCAGCAGAGCGCTCTTCTTAACGACTGGAGCCACCTCTGCGGCCACCTTCGCCGTCTTGCTATCTGTGGTATTTCCCTTATACTCGCCTCCTCAAACGTTTCGCTATATTCGCAAATTTCTCACGGGGTGATTCTGCTGAGTCAGCGTCTTCCTCCGGTGATTTTGCTCAACTTCAGCCCACGCAAAACGGGGTTATTCCGGAATTGACAAAAACTAGCGTCGCCACAAGTCTACCCGACGCAGGGGGGCCGTGGCCCTTCATTTTCACTTCATCAGTAATAATTATTGATTGTGCGATCTTTCGCAATGAGCGAAAACCTGGTCATTCCGCCCGCTAGAGACATTCATCAATTTTGAATAATTTTCTACCGCTTAGGGCGTCAGGGCAGCCTCATCGGGGGAACTGGCAAAGGGAGTCGAGAACTGACATAGTGTGTATGTCTGTCGATGAAGCCGGACGGTGAGGTGTTCTCCAAATCGAGCGCTTGTCTCGGGAATCCTCAAAGGATGTGGGCAGGGAGGGCAGGAAAAGAGAAGATCATCGGAGGTGGGATCGAAGAAAGGGGAGAGCGTAACTGATGAAAAATTCACTGACAGCTCCCACTGCTGCAGCGTCCACCGACACGACTGCTTCCAAAACCATTCCAACCACCTCCCGCACATGGACCGCAGTCTGCAGCGCGAGCTAAGGCCGAATTTCGATTTCCTGAGTTGAGTTTTACGCATTGAAAGGAATGGGATCTGGACCCTTATCGAAAAGAGAATTGAGTACCTGAGCAAGAATAATGCTGACTCAATCTCGATGATATTGTTTGCGGGTCTAACATGGATCCCATGGTCCAGCGTATGATACAATGATCCGCGCGTGATCCTGGGACATCGTTCAGATTCACGCTGCGAGCTCGCGTTTGTCCGAGATCGCTGTGTTCAGATAACAGCGAGCTGTTGCGCGTGCTCGCTAATGTTTGTCTTCGACAAAAATATAAGCACATGCTCAGTCGACGATACGATGTCGCGACTCTCTACACTCCGCTCTCATCTTTTTTCCGTTCCACGAGACAACAAGACGCCTGCGAAGCCGGAAAAAAACTCGACCCCTGCATACGGACATTAAGTGAAGTAGCCGGACGGGTCCGTCGGGACTGCCCTGCTATCCCTTGCCCTCTCCCATGTTCGGCAGAACCTCTTCACCGCAAAAACGTGCGTTTTTATGCCCGAGAGCGTTCCCGTCAGGGACATGAATATCGTCTCGGTCGAAACGATGGGCTGCGTTTGGACTGGGAGGGGAAAAGAAGGAATTCTCTTGAAGAAAATATTATATAAACATTCGCGATCCATTTTTGTGCTGATTCGCCATGAATGCGTCAAGTGGAAGACGCTGCGGAACAGATGGAATATACAGACATTCCAAATTCAGCCCGAATCGAACATTTGCCCTAAGTCTGTAGCGATGGTTTGAGGGATCGGCTGCTCGGAACACGCCTCGCTGCCTCGGGCAGCCACAGAAGTTTCTCCGTAAGAAACGTGGACGTAGGGTTGCAAAACGACAGAGGGTCCCACGCCCCCGAGAGGGCTAAGTGAATGCTTCGAACCGATAGGTTCCTCGTGCTGGAGGGTCCGTATTCCGAGCGACGGACCCCAATGGGAACTGTGGACCCGCTAACAAGAGGAAATCCAAGAGACCCTCTGATAGGGACTGAACGAGTGGGATTTCTCAACAGGTTTCGCCTGGCTCAGCTTTCGTTTGAAACGCTATGCCGCGATAGTCGTTATGATGTCTGTCATCCGACCGCGAGGAACAGGATATGTGTCACAGAAAACTAATGAATTAATGAATAGATGGACGTGTGTCGACTCAATCCCTGACCTCGCCACGTTGGATCAGTGAGCACCGCACGGAACGATGCCGTCTACCGCTCGCACCTGCGTCACGACACATGTTCGGTCGCTACGTCAGCCGCTCTCATAGGTTTACGTATATATGTATAAATACGTCGCTACGTTCGTTGAACTGTGCGTACGGATGCAACGTGCTCTGTTCCGAACGAACAAATGGAGAAAAAAAAAGACATCACTCGTCATCCTGGTGAGCCCATGTGGGCCGATGCAAGCGATTGCGTCTGACCGTGGCCCGCAACTGTTTCATATTTCGTCAAGATCATGGGGAGAACGCGAGGCGAAGCTCTGATTCTACGAAACTCGAATATCCCTTGACCGAGCTGGAGGAAAATCCGGGCGAAGACCAAACGCCTCGAGAAAGCAAGCCGCGGATCAGCTAGTGGGTTTGAATCGTGTGCCCGCGCATAAATACGGCAGGAACAATATCTCGCCGCCATTTCGGAGCTCGCTGACGGACGTTTCGGTGGCTGCAAGAAACCGGGAGGGAATCTCCCAAGTAGAGAACGCCGAGGATGGAATGCGAAGAACTTTCAACATTTTCGATGCGCAGTCTTTCGCAACCCGAACAACGACGACGACGAAGACGGAGTATGGAAACGAAGAAACTCAAGCAAGGAGAACAATGAGGAGAAGGACGGAGCAGCAGGAGTTCGAGGGGAAAATGTGTGTCTTTGTGTGGGCTCGGTAGCATTTCACGAATCCCGCTGCACGGAAGACGAATATTAGGGTTTTTTCATGGGCTGGCTGCCTCCCGCCCCCTCGGTCTGACCGGGATCTGTTCGCTTGGTCGTACGGAGCCCCGTCGGGGCAGAACTAGGAGCAAAAGATGGAGCGGGAAACACGGAGACGTTTGCCTCACTGGCTTTTGGTGGCATCACACAATTTCAATTTCGAAATTCTCTCCTTGTTTCTTCTCTCCGCCCCCTTACAGTCGCTTGGTCTTTTCAAAGCGAGCGAGAGACCGGACGAGGAGGCGGGCGGGTGGTTTGGCGGATGATCGTATTTCTTTTCGTTCGTCTCCTTGCCTGCCTGTCGCCTCATCTCTAAATCTCCTCTCGGTGCTTTTCAATTCTAACAACAACAAAATCCGAATCGAATTCTTTAAGGATGCCGAGGCACGGAAGTCGGACACACGAATAGAGGATGTGGTGCTCACAGATGGATGGACTCGGGGAGTATCCGATCTCATTCCTCGTTCGGAGTTTTCGCGGTTCCCAGCAGATCCCGGACGGACTCTGCCGAGGGAGACTGCGAAATACAATCGCGATTCACTCGGACCCACGTTAGACTCTTGAACACACCCCAATCCATGACGGAGACGGAGTCCCGTGGAAAGTTTTCTCCCGTGAGAAAAAAACCTGTCTATGCAATAGCGGACACGGCGCTTTCCCGGTGGCATGGCGCGACCCATAGTTCGCCCGATCGGAGACTCTGACAGAATGCCGTGAGGGAAGCCTTCCGTATCAAATGCCCCACGCCTGGGGAAGTGGCCTGGGCCTATACCATCAGAATTAGCGATGATATAAATATAAAACACGAGTCCCGTGGAGCTAGCGAGGGTGAGTCTGACTCATCATGATTACGCAGTGGGTGGGACAAATCTGATTAAGTCGCTCCGTATCCGTTTCAATCTAGATTTCGGATGCGACGAGAAAGTGAGTGACTAAGTAGAGTACAATGATCGTGGACAGGCTGTGAGAAACTCGGGGATTGTATGGATAATTCGGTCGGAGCAGCTCGCAGTAGTTGGCGTCCATTGAAAACCAACGAAGTGGATCGCTACCCGGTATAGAATTCATCCTAGGACGAGCCAGAGTTGAAGGAGTCCCACTGCCCCGAGAAATTCCTCGTCTTGCCTATCGCGCTCGGTCCTCATGACAAGCCCGGGCACCGTCCCATGTTGCTAGGTCAAGAATTCGTGATCTCGTCCAGGCCGAATTTTTCCAAGGAAGTTTTCCCTTCCCATTGCTCCGATCTCGACATCTGAAGGTCTCCTATCCACCCGCGTCCTACCAGGCAGGCGGCTGCTGCCGTCGCCGCTCTCCGCTGTCTACTGTCGAACGACTTAATAATATCGGTGGTCGCATCTGGCTCAAAGTTTTCCTGATCGCTCCACGTTCCGGGAGAGCGGGGAGCTGAAAATAAAAATCCAGAGTGAGAACAAGATGGAATGACGGTTTCCCGGGTTTGCCTTGCGTATAATTCCTCGATCCTTGTCCTCGAGGCTTGGAATGGTTTTCTCCATCGCCCGATTGTGTCTCGGCTGTTCCTTTGTTCCTCCACCCCTCGTCCATTTTCTCCTCTCCTTCAGAGGAAATGATGGCGGAGTCGATGATTTTATACTGCGACCGTAGACAAGAATAACTGGGTTAATGATGAGCGAGCGAAACAAGGACGTTGTTCTCGTCGACTGCAGTGGATTCAGGCCAATCAGGCGGGCTTAGCACCGGGAATTGATCCTCTGTTAGGGAGGAGACTGACGTCTCGTCTATTTGCAACCTACATTCAACGTCTCTTACGGATTCTGGTCGATGCACAGGACTCGATCGGCCCAGTTGACTTCACGCGAGCATCTCCCTCGAGTGTACGTCTGATTTCTCAGAATCACAGCGGGGGTTCCTCGACCGAGTTGGGGGGGAGGGGAGGGGTCCTTCGCGAGCTGCCGAGATCTCGTCCAATCTTGCCGGAAGTGAAAGACCGGCTAGAACCCGATTTGACGCTCTCGCGTAGACCGGATTAATTCACGTCGGCTCCACATCGAGACGGATGGTCTCCCAGATGGATGAATGCAGGAGAATAGCAGGACCCTGTCCACCATGAGTGGGCGTCTTTCTTCGTCCGTCGCTCCCTTATCCCGTATGCGGCTCCGGCATAATCTATGGAATAATCCACAACCTTGAGCCTCCTGATGTACGATGCAACTTCTTGCTCGAGTTGGAAGCTTTCGATGAAGTTCCCACATTTTTTCCGGTCTGCGCCATTCATCGTCGCTCTCCGTCCTCGTTCTATTTTCCCTGCCGAGATCGAAAGCGGCACCCCTCGCTTGTCCCTGCTCCTCTCTCTCTGAATACGAAAACCTCTTCGCAGAGACTATCGATGTTTATCAGCGGACAGGTCCCTTCTCTCGCTTCTCTTTTGGGATCCCGTTCCCTGTTGGACGAATCATATGCGACGTGCGATCCTTATAAATGAGTGAAATATGTAAATTCGTCCCTCTGTTTCTTCGTGTCGCCTGAAATCTCAGTCAGATAGGCTGAAATTTAGTCGGCCGTTTGCCGGAGAAAGCGAGGAGAGCTTCGATAAGTCGCTCTGTGAGCGAAAGAGGCAGTCAGTCACTCAGTTCGAATTCAGGTACCGTATCCCGGGCACAAAACCGAACCTTGGGGAAAAAACTCGAATTCGAAACATTCAACAAATTGACGGGATTCCCCCCAAAATCTTCAGTCTCCGTTGTCTCTCGTACTCCCCGCAAATCAAATTGTGATTCGAGTGCCGATTCGGAGACTGAAACAGACGCGAAAAAAAAGAGACAGACAACGGTGGACGACGAGACATTCCCGCGCTCTGGCTTGATCTGTGCTATGTGGTACCGCAGCGGCGCGCCGACTCCATACGCTAGGTGGGAAGAAATAGATTCGAGGGATCCGGTAGGGCAAACGAGGAATATCACGTATTCCGCGCATCATAACGTCTCCGAATCCGGGGCCTCGACGATGCTTTAGGAGTTCTTTCTTCGCTTTTGGGAGATTTCCATTGATAAGTGTCACGAGTCTCGGTGGGAAATATTCCGGCCGATTCGGGCCCTCGACATGACGCATATCAACAGAGTATCGATGACTATAGCCTCTTGTATCCTCCAGATCAGAGATCACCTGGTTTCATCGACCGCTTTCCCACGGATCCAACTGAAATCGACGCTTTTCTTTTCAGAGAGGACTGCGTTGCGGTGCGCGAGTCGTTCTGCTACAACGAGTGGGCGATGATCGAGGACAACAAACAGAGAGGGATTCACTTGACGAATCGGGGACACTTCCGATTGCCCTATTGTGAAAAATTACCATCCGTACACGAGAATCCCAACGGATGCTCCCATGCCCACATCACCGATTTCCGGCATGATGAGGTCACCAGTAAGTATTCCCTCGAGAATCCCCGCGTTCCGAGAGCCCGGTCTGAAAATCGCCGAGCCGTACTTCGAAGGATTTCTGGGATTCCTCCTTTCGCACTCATGCTGCGCCGGCGCCGCTCGTAGGATTGAGTTCCCTCGCGTCGCTAGTCCGCGGTCGTGATCTCCGGCGAAGATGGATGAGTCCGAGCGGACGTTCCCCGAGAGGAATTGATTTCGAGCAGAATATCGAAAACGATTCACTTCGGACTCGCGCCCACCTCCTTACCTTCGATGACCTCTACCTTTCCGTCGGAATTCACCACACCTAACAGAGGGGCAAGGGAAAACGGGAACAAAGGGCCTCATTAAGGATGCGAGCGAGGCAGAGTGACCAGAGGCGAAGCTGAAGATGGAACTAGACGATGAAGGAGTCCTGGAGGAGAGTTACGTCGTCTGCGCAACCCTCGAGGGAGACCCGAGAAATCGGATGGCGTTAGCAAGTTTTTTCCGAAAAATCTCCCCGAGTCACGCTAGGGTCTTCGCTCCCTGGCAAATATTTTACGAAGTGTCGGAGTCCGCCCCGCGTTTCGCAGACGATGAACGAGTTGCTCGATATTGAAAATCGAGGAATTTCTATCGGACGATGATTTTTGAAGCCTGATTTTGATTCGGGTTCGCGATTGACCCCGAATTCCGGAAAAGCCGAACTTTCACGCTGCCGTGCTGAACACAGATGGAACGCGAACACTCCAGGAGCCTTTCGTGTTAAGCACCGAGAATCCCACTGAATTATGCAAAGTCGACTTTCATCTCGATGAGCCGCGGAGCCTCTCTTCCGGGTGTTGATGCGTTTTTCCCTCTCCTGCTTTCGTTCAACTCCTACCACCGCCTACAATTTACCAGCTCCAAGGGGGTGGAAGACGGACAAGAAGAAGTTTCTTCTCAGCTTCTCATTTGACTCCTTTCCTTGACGTTTTTCGCAGCCCGCTCCCGCGCTTTTGCGTTAGAAGAGCGCTCTGATGGCAGAAATTTTAAACTCATTATCATCCTGCATTTCCGCTGGTCCACGGAGGCGCCCCGACGACTTCGCGCGGACACGTCTCCGAGAGACCCTGAAAGGGCCGAACCATGGCTCCACCGTCTGCCAGAGGAGAAATGGACAAGAAGTGTTGAATGCGGCTATTCGGAAGTCCGCGAGCTCCGCGGAGCGTAGGGGCGTCAAGGCGAAACCTCTGCGGGCATCTTCCAGACTGAACTTCGTGCGCGGGAGATCAGTTTTCTATTTCCAGTGATGTTTCCCGAATTCCTGACTAAAGCTCTCTGACATTTCCAGCGACGTGCGTCCGGGGCCGCGGGCGCTTCTACCAAGGAAAAGTTAATGTGACGAAATCTGGGATAACCTGTCAGGCGTGGGATGCCCAGGAGCCACATTCACACAACAGACCGCCGATGGTGTTCCCGGAAATTCGAAACGCTGAAAACTTCTGTCGGAATGCCGGTGGTGAAGAACCGACACCCTGGTGTTACACATCCGACCCGCGAAGACGTTGGGAACACTGCGATATCCCGCTCTGTGGTGAGTACCAGATTCTCGTATGAAACTTCCAGGAATAGCTTCCTTCACTTCATGTATTCCAACTTGGGAGTCTCTCCTCATGTGTTTGATCCTCGGGAGAGCTGTACGCAGCTAGTAAGCTGTGGGCGAGCCATCTGGTGCCAAGATTACGGCGGAAGCAATTATTGAAAAAAGAAAAACAGGGCAAAAAAGTTTTGTCTGAGAAGGTTAGCAGTATTCACGATGACGAAATAATTTGACGGTGCAGGTGATTAAGAACTCGATATGGGCCGAGGGCGCCGCGCCGTGAGCCGCGCGGGCGGGTAACTGAGTCAAGATGAGGCATTCCTTCCGAGGCGCTCTGTTTACGGACTCCACGAGCTAGCTCCTTTTTTCCTGAACGTCGTCACGGGGGAATTCGCAATATTCTCAGTGAAGGATTTGAGATTTCTCTAGTTTTCCAACGCTTCCGACAACTCATAATCAATGTCACTCGATCCCTCCTGGTCCGAGACAGGACGCGCGTAGTCGACCGACAGAAACCGACTGCGATCTCTGCTGCGAGCGGATTCCGAGAGTCCCGCTTTTGGTCTACCAGGGCGCATACGCTTCCTGGATTCGTCTTTCGAGGCGTTACGCCATCGTTGGTACCCGGAGCGCTGGAACTTTTGGTCCGGACTTTTATCTTGGGCGGTAAATGAGAGGGAAGATCGCTGTCTGTCTCAAAACGAGTATTTGCTCGCTCCGGTCTCTCTGTCTGTCCGGCTGAAGATTTCCAAAATGGACTCGTTACTCGAAGTTGGTGCCCCTCCGCTCAATCGGTGCCGCAAATCCTCTCTTTACTCGTTCTGAGCGCGCGCAACGACCGAGAAAGAAGAAAGCACGCGATTCATTCTCGCGGTTTGTTAACTCGGGCTCGAGTTGTAATTTGACACGCGACGTCGGGAAGCCTTTTTGGGTTCCGAAATCATCCGACGGGGAACCAATTCGTTTCTAGCGGACTTTTGTTTCCGAGGTGATTCAGCACAGCACCGTCGTATATTTTCCTTCGGATGATCATCGAACTCTTTCGCGTGGACTCCTTATTCCGCGAACGCTAGTCAATAATCACGAAATGTGACTTTTCATGGGAACATTCGAGAATCGCTCGCGTTTATGTTCAAGCCAAGCGACGAAATTGAACGGGAGAGCCCATTTATTATTCGGCGATGTTTTGAACAGTCAGTGAGCGAGTCGGTTAGTCCGGGAACCTATCGGAGCACCGACTCCCGTATCGATTGTGGTGTCGTCGCTTGTCGGCTCACTCGTCGGCCGCGAGCTCATCAAATAATGAACTCATCTCGGCTTATCGCGGCGCGAAAGCGCTCCGGCACGAATCGACTTTTGTCGTCCAAAAGTTTGCTGCCGGCTTCCCGTGGCCGCTTTCGTTGGCTTTCTATGGCCGTGCTCCTCAGCGACTTTTATCTTTCTCCCTCCCGGAGTCTCTTATGGAGCCACCCCACCGTCGGCGGAGCATCAGACGCTCATTTACCTATTCTCCCTTTGATGACTTCAGGGTCCGCCCGTTGCATGTAGTGGGCTCCAAAACCTGATTGCCTCCATGTGAAATTTGTAGAGGGGGTCCCCACTACAAGCACCGCCGGACCGTCATCGGTCCCGACCGCAAGGGAGAAGCCTCGGAGCTCGAAAGTTTAAAGTCCACAGTTCCGGTGGTTGAGACTTACAGTCGACATTCGAATTCGCTGATTCGGATGAGAACAACATACGGAGTCGCTGCTGTTTTACAATTTTCCGAAGAACAATTAGAAAAGCGCACTGTGGGACTCTACGATAGGAAAACGATATCCGAATTCGATGACCCGGATCGGGCCGAATGCGAGCTGTGAATCGTTCCAAAGCTGGCCCGTCATGGCCCCAGATCCGCAGCTTCCTCTTATTCGTATTTGCCTGGTCTGCTATATACCTCATCCATTTTCTTCATTCCATTATTCAACTATTTCTGATCGGTGAAAGGAGCCGACATTTCGAGTTTCCTCGCGAGAGACTCGGTGGCCGCCGCAGACCCTCGCTCGACGCGGAGCGCGAGCGGCTGATCCCGGCTAAGCGCTGGATGCCGCCGCCTGATGAATTGACTGAAGGATTCTTGTGGAATTTCACGTTGTTTCTGTGTCGGTTCAGTGTCAGGAGCGGCATCCGAGGCATCAGTTGTTGAGGCATCTAATCACTGCTAAGAGTCCGCTCGAGAGCCCAAGCGAGCCCGAGGAAAACTCCGCCCGTCGACGAACAGGAGACTGCTCGATCCAGCCGTCAGCTCGACCGCCGTGCCGGCTCAGAGGCCTCGCATTCATTCTCTAGGTCTTCCTGTAGTTGTCCATGCTGAGCAGAGGCAACTCGCTTGCAACAGCGGTCAGGATAACTGAGGATCTGTTCCCTTGAATCTCGACGGACGCTTTTTGTTCGCCACTCGGAGAAGGAGATCCGAAGTCGACGCTATTGTGAACTCGTTGTTCACTCTGTGCGCTAATCCTAATAATTACAGTTTTTTCTCTTGCTCATATCACCGTCCCGACAGCAATTTAAAGCTTCCGTTCGACGACTCCCAATCCTAGCAATTATCTTTCTCTCTCGCCCTTGGTCTCCTCTGAGCCCCATTAACTCCTGAACGTGTCGAAGCCATTCTCAGCTTGGCGTATAGTCGTCCGGGGCCGGCCAAGAAGTAGTTTTCGAGTAGACGATTCGAATCGTATCTATTTCATTAAGTCTGACCATCAATTATTCGATGGGCAGAAGGAACTCCTCGAGGCCTAACGAGAGAAAAAGGGAAATCGCGAACGCCAGCGGCGATCAACCAGCATCGCGAAGCTTATGAGAGGAAAAACAAAAAGTTACTGCGTAGAGCTTGCCTTGTGTGAGATCCGCAGATTAGGAGGGATACCTACCCTCGTGAGTGGAAGCGAGTTTTCTCTTCACTTCCTCCTCCTGCCCCTCCACCTTGTGCTAAATCTAGCCTCCGGGTCTTCACTCGGCCCGCTGCCCTGCCCATTTCGTGCCGATCAGGAGCTTCATTCTTTGGGTGGACATGGTAAATGTGCTGGAGAGCGATCTTTCATGGGCTAAGTCCATGCACAGACTTTATGTTTCATGATGATCTATGGGGAGCTCTTAGAGACTCCGAGCGTGGAACTCACCACGAGGGGAAAAACCGGAATGTGCTCCGGAGAGCTTAGGGATTAAGAATGGGTTGGCCAAGCGGTCGAGGGATTCTTCACGCGTGCAGATCCCGTTTCCTCGCCTGCGGATCCTGACGCGAAGTTTAATTGACCGTTGTGAGCATGGAGCGAGAGAGAATGTCGGAGAGTATTCAGAGATTTCCCCCTTCAATATCGAATCAGGGACGGTCCAGCGAGTCACGCAATATTATCATGAGTGCACCAAGTTGACGATAATTATTAGCTTAATTGCTTGTGAATATTGAGGGGCTGTTTGAAACAGCCATCTCTCTGAATATCCCTCGCGAGACGAAACTCATCCGACTCCGGATAAGCCTCCGATATTTGATCGGTATAATGGCGAAACTCACAGAATATATGCGACTCCGACTCGGAACCTCATCAGGTTGTTTTCGGAGACTTATTCACGATGAGCTTTCAGAGGGAGCCTCTACGAGCGGCGGAGATTGCTATGGTGGTTCGTAGCCTACCCCAATTTGACTTGTCTTAATCAAGAGGGCAGATGTCCCGTTCCATTACGCCCTGTCCATTGCGGAACGGAGAAATAACGAATATACTGCTCCAGAACGCAAGCAGGAAAGGGGATCCGAGGCAAGATAACTGATGAAAAAATTCTTGCTTCCTCAGAGAACATCAGCTCGATCGTATCGATACCCGAGCAGACCCGCAACGATGTGTTTTTGCTTCCTGGTGGGCATCCTCTAGTGCTCACACCTCCGGTGATCGCCTTGGCTGCAGCTGTTGGGGTGGGCGCCCTGCTGTTCATCTTCCTGCTTTGTCTCCTTTGCAAGAAAATCGCATTCTCCAAGCCCCGTTCTGTCAGTTCGTCGATCCACAACACCGCGGTTTATGCTGCGCCAAACGGTAAGCCCGAATTTTCCCTCTATTTTTATCTCCATGCGTGACTTCCGGCGAGCGGTCCCGTTGTAGATGTTCGAGAGTTCGGCATTATTTTTCCCTCGTTTCCATGTCCATGCATAAGATCCGAGATGATATGTTTTCGACCCGACTGTAGTTCGCCGTGATCCTCGTTGGGTTCTTAGATATCCCACAGGGAATCTTTCTCGGAAACCCATGAAGGCTTCCGTGCTCGGGTCGCGAGTCTAAATCCGTTTTGACCTAAACCCCTCACAGGCAACTCTGTGGGACTCTGCAGCATGGTAGACATCGACCTTACGAAGCTTCCGTCGAATCTCACCTATCACCAAACCGAAGCTAAACTCAATCCCAAACTGGAGAAACTCGAATATCCCCGCAACGACATCGTTTACATACGGGATCTTGGCCAAGGGGCGTTTGGGAGAGTTTTCCAGGCCAAAGCTCCGAACATCAGGAAAGGAGAAGACTTCACCGTTGTCGCTGTCAAGATGCTCAAGGACAACGCCTCCGATGAACTCCTGCAGGACTTCGAAAGGGAGGCTTGTCTCATGGCCGAGTTCCAGCACCCGAACATCGTCAAACTTCTCGGCGTGTGCTGCATCGGTAGTCCCATGTGCCTCATATTCGAGTACATGGAGCGCGGCGATCTCAAGGAGTTCCTGAGATCGTGCTCACCCTCGAACTATATCGTTCGATCGGGCTCAACGAACGTGTTCACCGATTCGAGACTCAGTTTTCTCGACCAGCTGGACCTCGCGGCTCAAATTGCCGCTGGAATGGTCTATCTGTCGGACATGAAGTTCGTTCACCGGGACTTGGCCACGAGAAATTGCCTCATCTCAGAGGATATGACGGTGAAGATCTCCGACTTTGGATTGTCGCAGAAAATCTACACAGCCAACTACTACAAAGGTAGGAACATATGAGAGAGGATTTCGATATTGAGCTGGGAAACCATGGGATTTATGATCAGAGTGCCCGAAAAAAATGGAGTTGAATCCGATCAATTGATTGAAGTTGGATAATGAATGATTGATTTAGGAGTAATAGATGGATAGCTGATCATCTATTCGGTCATCTTGATAATCCATTCCTTCATCCAAGTGTTTTCGCTCTTGCCGCAAATCTGGATCAAAATAAATTTCACTTGCAGGAAGCGAACATGACGCCGTTCCCATACGATGGATGCCTCTCGAAGCAATCCTCTATAATCGATTCACTGTTGAGAGTGACATCTGGGCATTTGGTGTGGTCCTCTGGGAGATTTTCTCATTCGGGATGCAGCCGTATTTTGGGAAAACCCATGAGGAAGTCGTTCGGTAAGTGTCATTCTCACTCATTGGAGAATCTTCCGCGCCCTTATATAGAATAGGCAATGCAGGAATCCCGGGATCATTTTCCCAGAATTATCACGACACTCTTGATAAGCACTTGATCCATGGATCCTGGTATCAGTTCAGCGCAGCGACGGCATTCCCAAACGCACGTGATATCATGCCGGCCCTCACGGAATCGACGAAAGTCTCGGAATTGAGGATGGGGAATTTCAGAGTTCGGATCGCGAGACGAGGCTCATATCATTATTTTCCAGTTACGTGAAGGAGGGCAACATTCTCTCTTGTCCCGACGGCACCCCATCATCAGTATACGCGCTCATGAAAGCTTGTTGGAACCCCAAACCGAATAGTCGACCTAACTTCAAGACGATTTTCAATTCGGTCAACACAATCAGAGACGACTTCCTCAAAAAGCAAGGCCAAGTTATGATGTGAGCAGCCCGGAGCCTCTCCTGACTTGAGAGACGAACCAGATTCACCGGAAGGGCCTGAATACATCAAGCGACTCATCCTTGGACCCTTCGACCCGTGTAGAGAAAGTTCCCGTGTAAAAATTGTACAGAGAATCCCGCAGATAATGACATGCTCAGAAGTACATAGATCGCTGAGAGGGAATCGTACGGAAATTCAGCTGTAGGGTCACATTGGCTGAGTGAAATCATCAAAGATCTGAGGTGTGCGGCAGAGAATAGGAACATTTCGAAGTTGTTTGGATAAAGAGCCTCCTTGATGCCGAATGCCCTCAGAACCAGGTTCTGTAATCCGGAGCAAACGGAGGAATTTGTATGTTTACGAAGAGATCTCTCGATACTTGGAATTTCTGACAACATCCCGGTTTATGTAAAAAGGAATCGAATGGCGATACAACGACGGCACTCGATTGGTAACTCAATCATGTGCGGAATATGCAACGGATTGACCAGACGCAGTAATCTCAATCTTTCTTTCTACTTTCTATCCCCCTTCCGAATCTTCCGGAGTAAATAGTACATACATCGGTGCTTTTCTATCTGTCAACGTGAGCATCATCGTCGTCGAATCCGGCGAGTGGGTTAATTGCTCTTGACTTGTAAATCAAAAATGACTCTTCATCCCGCCCCCCTCGTTCCGTAGTCGAACCGAACGAAAACACTTCCTAGAGGAGTTCGGCTCTCGTTCCGATGAGGCTTCCCGAATCGATTCTTGTAAATAATTTACCAAATCAATAATAACTTGTACTGAATGTTACGATAAACTCTGAAATCGCTCGTCTTGGAGCGTTTCACCAATGGAAGAAGCGTTCACCCAGTATTCCACTGAAACGAAATGACTCTTGCAGCAATCGCAGCAACCCATAGCGTTAACGTTAAGTGATTTGTTTGCAGGTTTTATACCGTTCCATAACAGCCTAACAGAGCAGATCAAATAAACAGATGACAAGTACTGTATATTTTTCAAAAACCCATGAGAAGATCGTGTTCTCATTCAGTATTCGTGCAACAGTGAAGAAGAGAGTAAGGCGGCCCGCGGCTCAGAATTAAATTTGAAGTTCTCTAATCATTGAAATCAGAAACACGATTCTTCGCTCCCGATCGTCGATTCTGTGGCATTCGCCGAAAACAGGATGGGGCAAAGGCAAAGATTAGCCGCGGTCGGCGGCAAGTTTCTCGACGAAAGACGATCATTCTTTTCTGAGCTCAATGTGACGATGCGTCCTGTGTCCTGTTTTAGAGATTTCAGCACGAGGGGCGGAGAGAAACGACTGGAGAGCTGTCATCCAAGAATGACTCCAGCTCTGGCAGTAGTCAGAGCAGTACGCGGTCCATCATATTCGGCACCCGATCGGTTTCAAAATACTCTATGGAGGGAAGAGGGAAGACAGGCATCTTTGAACGAACAGTGGGAAACCGTCTGGAAGCGAGATGACGTACTGAGCTATCTTTAGAAATTTGAAGTGAGTGCATCAGGCACCTGAGTCTCGCGCGCAATTGTCCCAAACACTAAGGCATGCGCGACCATTGGTTCTTCATAGACATTACGGGAAGAGGCTAATTTTCTCGAGTCGGGACTCCTGACTTCCAACTCGGAAGCGGATCTCGTAAAACGGGTATCCCTCCCGAGCTATCAGAGCCAATCGGAGTCTCCCGGATTGTGTCAGATATGCGGCATTCTAAACTGCCGGAAAATCCGCGTTACGTCACCTTCGACACAAGAGCAGAGTCCACGGGTACCCAGACGACGGGGATCTCATCGTGTTGCTAATTCGATACACTGTGTATCGAGCGACGTTGAATAGCGTTCGGTGTCGCTAGTCTTTTACGATATCCAGGAGATGACCGCATCGACAGCTTTCGAGAGTTCGCTGCCAAGGCCAGCTTTGAAAAGAGGCGCCAAACTTCGCGGCACAAAAGGGTGCCTGCTGCCGACAAAGATAACAAGCGACAGTTCGGACAAGGCAGCGGGTCATCCATTCGAGCAGCGAGCGAGACAGTGTTGCGGAGACCGCGACCGGCAGCAGTGAGAACAGATTTTCTGGTGCACGTCATCGAACTTCGGGATTACCATGGCTTTGTCCCGTCTTCTTCCTACTTCCAGGGCTCTCTGCCAGCAGGTAATAATGGGCTTCCGCTCCGTTTGATTCCAGAGGACGTACGGAGGGTACCGCGGTTCGAACCCGTGTTCGACATGAAGCTCGTGGTTCAATTGATCTTTCGTCTTGATAATGTCATTGAAGCGTTTGCGTCCATGCGCCGTGACTTGATCCGGTCCGAGCTCACGACCACAAAGAGTTTCCCAGCCGAGTGCGGCGAGTTTCGAACCGCGGTCCTCATGACTTCTCCGCGACCTCGACATCGGATGTCCTTGTGCTTCGTGGTGGCCTATTTCGCTCTTGATCAGAGGGTATATTGCTCGTACGGCCGTACCGTCGAGACCTGCAACCCCTGGTAGAAAACCGTGACACGATTTCATGGCTAGAAGGATGTATCGTGAAGAATCGGAGATTATCCCAGGCGGATCTTCGTTGACTCTTCGTCTTTTCTCTTTCAGAGGCTCCCGGCTGCTTTATGCATGTCCTCCAGGAACGTTTCGGCCGACTCGACCGTAAGTATCTCGACGACCGCAATGTAGTCGACCATCGATTCGGTTTATAGAGAACTCGGCAACGATTCCGATTGAGCAAGACGACATTCAACCCATAGAAATTACAGTGGTCGGCGTGGCCTACGGAGCCTTCTTGAGCAGATCATCATTTTGTCGTCGTCGTTGTGATATTCTCGTGCAGTGTGAACCGTCACATGATTTCTTACTCTCCCGACGTGTCCTACGTCGTTGACTTTTGACAGAACGTCTGACGTAGAAACTATCGGGAAAGTACCTGGACCTGCAGTGTTCGAGTGACAGTATCGAGCTCGCTTGTCATCAGAAGAATGTGATCGCGGACTGCCGAACCAGAGCGTTTTTTCCACCCGAATACGGAAACCGGCGGAAGGGATAGACAGAGGTGCTGTATAAAGCATTCATTCTGCTCCGGCATGAACAACTGTCGTCTAAGTCGGCTTCCACGAGAACATCCACCGTTGCGGCCACGTGACGCGTTTTCTGTGCTGTTTCGGGTTCCCGTTCTCTTCGGAGCCTGTCTGTGTCGATTTCAAGGTTACCCAAGGTCATTGATCTCGATTCGAAAGGCGCGCTTCCTTCATCGGAAGCTTTCCCCCACGGGAAATATCGTGAACCTTATGATACCCGCAGTCGGACTTCGGACTCAGGATGGGTGAGCCATCAACGAAGTCCTTTGCAGACTTCACTGGGACGAGTCAGAAATGGAATATCTACTGGCTTCGAGGCTACTCGGGGCCTGACATCGATATGAGAGCTGGTCCGGTAGTCAATTCTCGGAAACATTCTGGTCACTCGGCGGCAGTCGCGAGGCGGTTCGGCCGCTTCGTCCAGCATGTTCCCGACGAAAAACTCAGGATCCGAGCACTAATTCATATCTGTGTCTCCGATCGGGTTAGGTATATCGTGATGTGGAATCGATGTGATTGTCGTGAGTTTCACATCGTAAACTAATAAAAAGCTCAGTATACCCCTGCACTGCATTACGCTGTAAACATTAGCTTACCGATCGGAAGTTATCTACAAGTCGTAAATCTATCAGGAGAATTTTTTTTCGTTGTGTCAATATGACCGGTCCGGAATTTCTCCCTCGGCTCACCGCTCTTCAGCTCTTGAAACCCCTGAAGATGCATCTCTCTCCTTCCTTCCATCTGATGGAAGGAAATCGGTCTTACTGAAAACACCGAAGCTTACATGAGATCGATATCCGATGTAATTCTTAATGCAAAAAATTTTAGGATCTGAAAGGCATCTTGGCCGACAAGATCGCCGACGAACGAGTGCGCGTGAAGGAGTTCCGGCAGAAGTTCGGTAGCCAGACCGTCGGTGAAGTCACCGTGGACATGATGTATGGAGGAATGCGGGGTATCAAGGGTCTCGTCACCGAAACCTCCCACCTGGACCCGGAGGAAGGTATCGCTTTCAGGTAAGGAGGCGTGTTACCTCCCTCGGGGGAACATCCATAGGCGCGATGTTGGCGACAACGATATGTCGTCTGCTTCTCTCCCATTTTCGGGCCTCCTTTGTCATCATCTATTCGTTACTGATGGAACCTACTCTTGTAGAGGATACACCATCCCCCAGCTCCGAGAGAAGCTCCCGAAGGCACCGGGAGGTGAGGAACCCCTCCCCGAAGGTCTGTTCTGGCTCCTTCTGACCGGGCAAATCCCCAGCGAGGCCCAGGTGAAGTCCGTGTCGAAGGCTTGGGCTGAACAAGCTGATCTCCCGTCGCACGTTGTGAACCTCCTCAACAATTTGCCTGCTAAAGTTCATCCGATGAGCCAGCTGTCGGCCGCCATCACCGCCTGCAACACTGAGTCTAAATTCGTCAAGGCCTACAATGAGGTGAGGAAGGGCTGACCATTCATCATCAAGACTCATTCGAATCAAATTTCTTTCGGTATCTAGCTGCGGTACCAGCTTGGGAGAATCATAGTCCGTAGTTCGTATCAGCTGATAGTGATGCGCCGGCCTCCGGAGGGCAAACACCTGAACTTGACCTTCGCTCTCTTCGACAGCGCCTAGTCACCATTGATCCAAGTTACGACCAGCGGTAATCGGATTAAACTCAGTAATGATCCTAGTCTCGCCTCTCATTGAGGTCTCGTGATCATTTTTCCATGAGCGGTATCCGTAGGCTCCCGAAATGAACGCGCTCGATAGAACTAGGAGTCGTTGTTTTGACGTCAGCTGGAAACGCTCGAGCGACCGTCCTGGCCGAATATCCCGCGGTCACCTGACCCAAATACTCTCAGAGTCTCGTAGATCGAGCAAGAACTCGCGCTAAAAATAGCTCAACCTTTGCTCCTTCGAAATTCCACGGTATCCAGCAGTTTTTCACTACGTCTCATTTTTTGATGGCGATCGCGCGATTCGCCGGCGTGCTAGTCGAGGGAGAGTGAAGATTATGTTTCCGCCGTCACTTTCGATCATGGAATCGATAACTCCGGATTCTGAGGACGTTCCTTGTACTCGACCGCCTTACGACGGAGTTGCTCTACCCAGAATGAATGCCCGAAAAATGCCCCCCCCCCCGAAACTCGCTGCTCAGAGAGTAAGCCCTGATCGACCGTTGCTCTTTTTCAGGGCGTGAACAAGATGACTTACTGGGAGCACACCTTCGATGATTCGATGAACCTCATCGCTAAGCTGCCTACAATCGCCGCAATCATCTACAAGAACGTATACCGAAACGGCGAATCGGTCGCCCCGATCGATGGTGACAAGGATTGGTCGGCCAACTTCTGTAAGATGCTCGGCTACAACGAGCCCCAGTTCACCGAACTCATGCGTCTGTACTTGACCATCCACTCAGACCACGAAGGAGGCAACGTTTCTGCTCATACTTGCCACTTGGTCGGATCCGCTCTTTCCGATCCGTACCTGTCGCTCGCTGCCGGCATGAACGGTCTCGCCGGTCCGCTCCACGGTCTCGCCAACCAAGAAGTTCTCGTCTGGCTGACCAAGCTCCAACAACAGCTCGGCAAGGACGTCTCCGACGAGCAACTTAAAGAATTCGTGTGGAAGACTCTGAAGAGCGGTCAGGTCGTTCCCGGATACGGCCACGCTGTCCTGAGGAAAACCGATCCTCGTTACACCTGCCAGCGCGAGTTCGCTCTCAAACACCTGCCCAACGATCCGATGTTCAAACTGGTTGGACAGATCTACAAGATCGTTCCTGATATCCTCCTGCAGCTCGGCAAGGTCAAGAACCCATGGCCCAACGTCGACGCCCACTCCGGAGTTCTTCTCCAGTACTACGGTATGCTTTTCCCGAAACTGATCGATCGAGTTTCCCTCATACACAATTTTTTTATTATTATTCATCCAATTTTGTTTTGGAATACTGCTATGCGTATGATAGCCCGCGCTCTCAACGGTTCCGGCACTCCCCTGCCGAGTTGCTCGCTCAATCGATGCGATCTCTCTTCTTGGGGTCACTGGCAGCTCATCCTCGGGGCTAAGCCACGCTCGCTCATCGCGATCGTGTTCCGTAGCCATATATCGTTTCAGACGAAAGATGACGGCACCACGTAATCGAGTTCCTGTCTTTCTTTTTAGGCATGCGAGAGATGGGATACTATACAGTGCTCTTCGGAGTTTCTCGCGCTCTCGGAGTTCTGTCTTCGCTCGTCTGGGACCGTGCCTTGGGTCTGCCCATCGAAAGACCCAAGTCAATGACTACCGACGGTCTCATGAAGCTCTGCGGAGCAAAGTAAATCCGGAACCTCTAAATTCAATCAAATTCATCCATAGGTAGACTCGTTGGAGCGACATCGTGGGGTTCCGGAATCGACGTCCGGATCTTCAGTCGATTCATTGAATGGTAGAAAGACGAAATGATTTTAGTTCGGAGGCGTAGGCCGGGCCAGGCTCGAAATTCAGTTCAAGCTAGTGTTTGGAGAGAGAAACAACCCATCGATATTATTAGTAGCCCAGTTAATTTTCTTCCCCCGGAATCGTCGGCTTTCCGACATAGTTCCTTTTCTACAGACTATTGACGTTATGATACGGTGCGCCACCTCCCTCGCCCGGTTTCTCTTCTTTCAAAGTTCGAAGCTTAGGGAGCTTGCAAAATGTCACCAATGGCACTCAGACCGAGGACTAATGGAACGCACGCGATTTCCGGTCTGGGAAACAATGGATAGAATATCTTTAGTACAAATCCATACCCGTTTCGCCATCCGCCGCCTTTCGGCCTCGTCGATGTGAAATACGACAGATCTGAAACATCACCACTCGTCGACGAGACAAAGTGCTGCGGGTCAATCCCCCAACCAAGCCCTGACCACGGCCACCAACCCCGATCAAGCCCCCCTCTCACCCCACTTCTCACCCGGTATCTCCGAAAACTCAGAATTTTTTTCCTCATAGTCCTTCATAGATTGTTTTCTCTCCCTGCGTCCCCTCCCGCCCTCTGACCGGGGATACTCGGAGCAGCAGGAAAACCTCTGCCAATGGTTGCGGATGATTGTCGTAGACTGTCTAATTGAGGTCGGAAATAGTTGATGCGTGAAGAAGAGAAACGATGTCCTTCACTCCCTCTGGGGTAAATGAATGTGTTCAGCAGCGGATCAACTTTTTTGAATTGGAGTGTAGATTCTAATTGACGAAGCGAACGCGGGGCTCTTCAGGGCAATGCTGTTGAGCCCGAGGCGTCAGAACGGATCGGATTATTCGGAACCTCGGAGAAAATATGCTTTTCAAGGAATCGACGAACGTCTGCTCCGACAACGATTGTGGTCGGCTCGTCGATAGCCCATGGAGCGAGCTTTTGGTCTCGGATTGAATCTTCGAGCCTGAGTGTGAGGTTTTCACCGTCACGCTTGCGATGCTCTGGAAGTCATCTCGAAGTGCATGCCGGCTGTTTTGAGAACGTTGAGTAGGGAACAATCTCATTTTCTGTTCTGAGAGGACTGAACATCTACCGCGTTTCATGCGATCGTCGTTAAATTGAGCGAAAATAAATTAAATGGTCGAGTACTTAATACATGGACAAATCGTTTCCTGAATCTCTAGCTATGAGGGAACAAGAGAGCGCTCCCGGGAACCCCGCAAGGCATCCAATGAAGGAAGATTTTTTTCGTTTTTCAACTCGAGAAAAATAACTAGGCATAAGCTTTATTGTTGCAGTCAACATCTCTCATAGACTTCGAGTGGAACTATAAATTAGCAACCTCTCAACAACTTTTTGGGCAATAAATAGTTTCCAGCGACTGTTCTACGGGGATCTTTGCGGGTATTCGCCAACTGTATTCCTTCAGCCTCGCTTCTGAGTTCTTACTTCCTCGCGGTCGATTCAGCATCGAACATACGTCTCGCGCTCGGCTTCCAAGGGGCCGGCGGCCCTCTATGGCGTGACTAAACTACTTATACATCATTTCTATGTACACTGAGGAGCTTCTTTGTTCATACGACGCCAGTCCGGCGGCCACATTATCTATACAAGCATTTACAACTTTCACTTGGAGGCGATTCCAGCATTGGCCAGAACAGTCTCGACCCACGGTCTGAACTTGGCCATATTGACGTAGACTCCGGGAACCCCGGGAGTTCCGCATCCGATTCCCCACGAAACCAAGCCGACAACTTTCCAGACTCCGTTCTGTTCGCACACCATCGGACTTCCTCCGTCGCCCTGTCGAAGAAAAAAATCACTTAGTTGGTGTCGCGCAGAGGCGGTCAATAGCTCCGCGTTCGTTGAGAAATTCATCTTGGGAAACAACAACCGAAGTAGACACTCACAGTGCATGCATCTTTTCCAGGCTCTCCACCGGCGCAAACGAAGCTGGTATGCAATTTGAATTGGGGTCCGAGACGTGTCCTTCGCAGTCTGTCTTGACAATCCAGGGGGTCTAGCAGGGGAACGTCGACTTTCCTCAGCACGTGTTGGTAAGCTCCCTGGGTTCCGAAAGCGTCCTTACCCCAACCGGTGACCCAGCAGCGCTGACCGATGAAGTTCTCAGGACCTTCTGGCAAACAAGCGGCAGCGATGTGAGGAGCGTTCAGATCAACGGGGCCCTCGAGTCGGAGCAGAGCGATGTCGTTGTTCAGGTTTCCGGGGAAGAACTCCGGATGAATGACGACGTCTGTGACCAGTTTCTCGATATGGGCGTGGAATTCGTCCTCTCTATGGACGTCCCATTCACCGAGACGGACTTTCAATTCCTGCGGTCTGAGGTTCTTGAGACAGTGGGCGGCGGTCGCGATCCATTGACTGGCGATCAGAACTCCACCGCAAACGTAGAGAGACTCTTGGGGTCGGAGGCGTTTCATGATGCCGACGTGCCACGGGAACTCGGCGAAATCGGTTCCGGATTCCGGGTAGTTGAGATTGGCGACACGTCCACGCACTCCGTAAGAGTTTCGAGCTCCGCATGTCGGATATGCGTGTTGGGGGGTCAGAGATCCGATGGTGGGATATGCGAAGTCGGTCCCGGTCGGGATGAAGGCCTGAGGGAAGTCCTGTTTACCGTAGCCGGGCTTATTATCGAAATCCGTGAACGAGTTGAGAGCTTTACGGTCTGGCGCGAAAGCGGCAGCCTTCACCGGGAATGAGCCCGCTGGCAGGGAGTTGCGGTCGAAGGATGGGGGAACTTTGCAGCAAGTTTTCAGAACTCCGCAATTGCCGAAGTTAACACCGAGCATTCTCTGCATGATTTCAGTTGCGTAGGCTGGCGCTTCTTCGCGACGGCTCTCCGAAGCAAATGCCGTGCTGTTGTTTTCCTCGGAGTCGTCTTTGATTTCCCCGATGAATTTCTCCTGTGGAATAGGTAGATTCAGTTTCAGTGACTTCTTTTTTTTTCATTCTTCGTCCGGTCGTTTTCTGTTCCCAAAGTGGTCTTCAAGCGATTCGGCAACGAGCACAAGTGTCTCTTTGAATTTGTTTACGTTCGTATTTTCATCAAATGCTTCGCAAGATTGTTCCACTACTGATAGCGATCGCGACCGGAGAAAAATTAACCGCGACTCATTGACGGTGGACGCGCGCCGATGCGGTCGATAGCGCCACAGATACGGATGGTTTCACGATTACAACTCCATAAACGTTGGATTGAAAGCGTTCCAATTGAATGTTCCTCTTCCCCGCCCGAGCGTTGGATCGATCGTTCGTGAATCTTTCAAAATATCTCCTCATATTCCATTGGGAACACGTGTCATTTGTCGCGAGTACCAAACCCCGAAAATCTCCATGGCTCGAATTAAGGGATCCAGGATCTACTCACGTTGAGCTTTGGCACTTCCCGACGGGTTCTGGCCTTGGCGTCCGAATCTTTCTGGTCTTCATTTTGTCCATCTGAATCTTCCTTCTTATTTCTCGGCGTCCTCCCATCGATTGTCCGTTCAAGCTCATCGTCGTTGGACCTTTCATCGATATCGAGGAACGACTGCTCATGATGCTGATGATGATCGGCTCTCCTTGGGGGAGGGGACGCGATAGAGGACAGATCGGGGGGGTAGGATCCCGCGTTGGATTGGATGTTATCGTATCCGGAACTGGATCCGAAACTGCTGACCAGGTAGCCATTCCTCCCGCATTGATAGTGAGGAACGCAAACGCATTCCTCGCTCACAGGCGGTGGGATTGCGGGTAAAGTGGGAGGGGCGGCGAAAGGTCTGTTGAGGATCCTCTCGTCGTAAATTGGTTTCTCCTGAGACGGTCGGAATCCTCCCTCGATCGCATTGAAATCGAAAGTTTTTTTCGCGACATGTTGAGATGCGGCCACTGGCTGACCGAGGTATCCGTCATCTTTGCGAACGCTCTGAAAGTTTTTTTTAAGAAACCGCTTGAGCCACTGGTCGCTTGGCTGCTTCGCCCGCTAGATCTTTAGCTCGTCCGAGTGATGTGATGAAAAAGGGAAATCGATAACACGGAAACGTTCCTCTCAGCGCGATCCAACTATAAATTTGAGCGCTGTAAAGGACGTGAAAAGAAAGAGCTTGGGAAACACCGTCTCACCTCAATCGGCTGGAAGCCTCCGTGGGGTATTCCCCCGAACGCGGGGATGTGTGCGTAAGCTTCGGGATCGTTCACGATCCGTGATTCCGGCGATAGCGCGACGTTGTTGTTCACGATGCGGCCCTGGCGATGCCGCGTCTCGAGCGAAGTCGAGTTCTCGTTCTGCTCTCGGAACTTTTTGATGAGATCAGCGCGGGCTCGGGCCGCCCGTCCGATTATGATTTTCGAGCCCGATTGAGTTTCGTAGACAGAGGTGTCGTTCGCGTCTTTGACCGCCATAATGTAACGCACCTCGCGAGGACTTCCCGTCGTCACTTCCTGCCTCGTGTCTGCAACAATGGTTATCGTTTAATGAGCGGAAGAACGTGTTGAGAGCTGACTATTCCTCGGCCGACGATTAAAACAATGTCTGTCGATTAGCCGTAGGAAATCGCACCCACAGGGCAAATCTCCCCGTCGTCTCCTTCTGTCGGGCGCTTCTGACGGAATGATGCCCCACAGAAGAATCAGTCAGTGATTCAGGCAGCCCGTTGGCTAATCGTTCGGTTCCTTCAACGATCCGGCTATCAAGCAGAATCAGAAAGCAAGTCAAGAAGTCTCGCAGCTCACTTCCGATAAAAGCTGACTACCGTAACGGTAAAGCAGCCACGAAAAACTGCGATTTCTGTTTTGGATTCCGCGTCGGATATCTCCGAAGCCCTACAGGTTTCCGACGATTTCTCGTAGGAGTTCCCCGCGAGTCGGCCCTCGGACTCCTTCTCCCCGAATACGGAGAAATCGGTTTCGCGTTCGGATTCCCAGCCCTGTTAATTATATCGATCGAGTCGACGGTGATGCAGCTGAATGGGGTGAAGCGTAATGTCGGGCTTCGCGGTAGCGGACGTCTCATGAATGAACAAATGACACGTTCTCGCATTCGTTCGCGTTTCCGGAGAAACCGGCGACCGCCGATATGTTCTGCCGGTGCTGAGCGAGACCTGTGGCTCGACTGCTAACTATTCTTGGACGTTTGACCAGCCAATCGGATATACGACTGCTTTCCAAACGAGTCGGGATGACTTCCGACTTCGAAAACACATCCGAACTCAGTCAAGTGCTGCTGCACATGTCATTCGACGGATCTCTCGGCGGCTGCGCTTTACTTCTTTCACGTTTGCCGTCGGCGTCGTCTTGCTTTGCTCAAAGGAGAAGCGAAAATGCCCCGTTGAATGATTTACTAAGCGCGAACGAGTGATCTGCTTCGACGGCCACCACAGCGGCCCCGTCGACGGTAACAGCTGTGTCTACGACGGAGGCAGCAGCAGCACCAACAACAACAACGACGGCGAAGTAAAAACGAAAGCGAAAACCTCTGCCTCGTCAGCGGAAGATGTTCCGTTTCGTCTGCGAAATGTTGCCAGGCAGAAGAAAAAGTGCCAAGCGGACGAACGAGCGGAACTTCTAATGGCGACCGCGCTTTCCAACACGACCGCAGCTTCGGTGACAAGTACGGCCGTTGGGACTCACATTAGTGGAATTGACCGCATCAATAACAACGACTTCACGACAAGCGATCGACAAGGAACAGAAACCACAACATTACGTTCCGCTGAGACCAATGGCGTTACAGTGGGAGGACGAAAGGGGAACTTGGAAAAGGTCTCCGCCACTCGTAGCGATCGATGGGAATCAATGCACCTGAGTTCCTAGTTCCGAGAACGACTCCGAGGTTATTCACAACAAACAAACTTTTATCGGCTTCGCGATTTGATACCCGGCTCGGTTCCGGAACGAGACGCTCCACTGACGACGTGTTCCATCTTGAAGTCACAGGTGGCTCTGTGGGGAGGAACCGTCGGAACAAAGAAAATCGACTCAAAACTATCGCAAGCGGATCGAGAGCGTCATCGGCCGATCTCAGTGACTCCGAACTCTTCAATCGGATTCAGATGTCAGATCCAATCATCCGAGCGATCGCCGTAACAGGTCGACTTCCAGGAAGCTCTGCTCGATTCGTTATGGCTGGAATACAACGAGGAAGACTCGGGAAACTCAGCTCATGAGGATTGAATGAGGTTCCGGCTGGAGCGAACGATTCCTACGAATTCCATCCGGAAACCTGGTCATAATGAATGTTTTCAATCAAATGGATCTTTCGTTTTCATATTAGCCGTTTTGAATATTGCGCAACCAAGCGCTCAGCGAACCGCTGTCGGCAGAGCCTCCCGTTTGAGAAGTTTTCCGATGAAACGGTTCTGCGGGAATTCATGCAGCTGCTCGACCCAATGTTGAGCTGTTGCGTACTGATGTTTTGAAGGAAAGGAGTAGCTGATGAAAATACGGTTGCAAAACTTGATCACGGGGAGACACAGCCGGGAGTCATGACGTCATTCCGAGAAAATCGGGCTAGTACTCCTCGCTTGCGAATGTATCTGACAGATTGTGAGGGAAGCTCCGAGAGTGTCCGAGGACACTGAGCTCAGGAGAATCCCGCTGGAACGAGACCAGGGTCGGGTCGCGAAAACGAGAGAACTCACCTTTACTCGCTGCATCTGTGATCGATGCCGCCGCGATCAGGAGGTAGAGCACGGCCCACGGAGACGTCGGCGTCATCTGGAAGGTTTTCACAATTTTAGAAAAATTGACATACGATGACAGCGTTCACGTGTCTATCATCCATCCGACGTCTAAGATCCATATGACTTTGACAAAATGTTCTCATAACATGAGACAGTCAGATCAAATAGGAATGTATGACCTATCCACTGAAGGAGGAATTCAGACTGAGGGAAGCCTGAATCCGAGCGAAGATTTCCCTACAGACTCGGCTTGGAAACGGAGCCGCATGTCTGAAGCCCCCACGGTCAACCTCCCGTCCACTGCTGAGGGCTGTCAAACGCAAGGGTCATTGAGGGACGGAAAGTTTCAGATTAATGCCAGACCGTCCCTTCCCTTGTTGATTTTCCTGTATCCGACGCTTCGTCCAGCAAGAAATACGGTCCACGCGAACGCCTTCACCGATAATCACGTTCGTTTTATCGGCTGACTGTTCGGCCAAGACCTCAGACACGATTTCTGTGGCTCGGTTCCAGAAGTAATGGAAGGGTTCATCAACGAGAAGAGCAAAAGCGTTCCCTCTCGGTGTTCCGATACCTTCAAAACCTTCTGTCTCATTTCACCTTATACTTCGCGAAAGCTTCACGAAAATGAGCGAGATCCAACGGTCGTTTCAGCGTTACGCCCGACCACAACAAGTAGGGTTCACTCCGTCACGAAGAAGCGCCAGGAGAAAGTTGAGAGAGGAAAATGATTCACCGCTAAACGCTCGGACCGTTATGTTACAAACGACGTGATGAGTGAATGAAAGCAAGACGCGTATGCTCCTAAACGGAGCTATCGACTCCGAGATAAACGAGGTTAGCCCACTCGGAACGTGACGGGAGAATTCCGTTCAAGTGGCTTGTCGAAGTATCGGACGGAAGTCTAACGTTGGATCTATTTATCTGAGGGATGATCCCGGCTTCGACCGATTGTGAGACACGAATTCTCGAATTCACTTGCGCGAGGCATGGACAACAAGGTGAGACATCGGAGTCTGATGGCGCGTATATTCCACGCTCAGTTGCCCCATTTCATTGTGGAGGATTATCCGAGACGCCGAAATTTCGGTTACGGTACGACCCCGGGGAGGGAAAATTGGCAAGTCATCGAGGTTCGGACGTCGGGAAAGCGCCAAAAAGAACGTTTTTTTCTGGATCATCTACGCTCAATGTCAGAGGATCGTCCTCTGCTAAACTCTCCCGAGAGCAGCCCGGCATTGGGTTTGCTCACGTGAAGGAAAACCAGGAGAGCTCTTCGATCCGGACTCAGTTGGCAGGAAGCATCGAAAGCGGATCCGATCAGACAAGTTCCCTCCGCGAACCAGGAACAGAATCACGTGTCGCGGCAAAGTTTCGTTCCAACAAAGATTGTGATGCGATTCTGTCGAAAATTGTGAAAAGTCGAACAGACTTGGAGATGTAGCTACTTGTCGAGACCTAGAATAATTGCAAGTCCGGAATCGGCTGACACTTTCTCTTGTAGGAAGGATCGTTCCCTCGATCCATATGAATTCTTCTTCGGACATCGTCGAAGATCGTGAGACTGCGCGACGAAAGAAGGAGTTTGCTCTCGCAAAGGGGAGCATTCCACCGACTACGCTAGAGCTGAAGAGTCAATAAAAACCGCGCACGTGGGAGGAGGCTCCAGCGGATACAATTTGCGAATGAACTCTCCCTCGCTCTAATCCGGAGCTGACCTCCAGAGAATTGAGAGAGCTCACTCTCATCGCAAACTGCCAACGACTCTCGGATTTTTTGGCGTTTCCTCCCATTTGAGCAAACAACCGGAAACTTTCTCTCCAAGCGAGAGGTCGTAAAATATTCTGTCGGCAGTGAAAACGAGAGTTTCCGTATTGGGCATTGTCTACGCGATTCGTCGGTCTCCAAAGCATTCCCAAGTTCTATAAACTCATCTACATGAGAGATAATCCGCCGACAACCTCGCGCTTTCCTCCGCCGATCACCTGGGCGGTAATTGTTCTTCCTCACCTTGCTCTGTTGAGCAGATCCTCGGAGCAAATTCACTTTCCGGACTCCAAGTAATTCAAGTTCAATCCAAGCTACTGGGCCCGGCTAGGTGCGTTTCTACCAAGTAACGATAATCCGGCACCAGACACAAAGTTCCAACACAAGTCGTGCTTCAACCACGACAACTGTGACTCTTGCCGCACCAGCCCCGCAAGCGTGCGGCTCTTATAGAAAGTGAAACTTCTCTCCCGCTGCGGGAGGAGGAAACGACTATTAGCCAGGGCTGCGGCGACGGGATTCCCCGCACTGCAAGGTTGTTCTGCCCCTTGGCTCACCTCGGGGTTTACCTGAAATCGCCTGCGTCAGAAGAGACTCAAGAACTACGGTGTTGCACAAGGATCGGGGGATGTTCCTTGGAAGCTTGCCGAAATAGAAACGTATTTTGGGGAGCCGATATCGAGTGCTGCCGTCACGTGGATAGAATCCCATAGAGCTGGAGCTTCAGCGATGCGTTGACGAGTCGCATCGGAAGCATTTTGTCCCATGTGCGTACAGATCAGTCTTCTGAAGCCAAGGAAACTGGGCAATTATCAGAAATTAATCGGACTGACTGCTGTCATTGAGATCTCGGTGCCTTTCGCTTGAGACCAGCGGAAGCTGATCCGACTTTCGATGAAATGATTACCCTCGATGGAACTTTCTGTTCCGCACCGAGTACAATCGAAAATTGCCATCGAGGCGACAAGCGTAATTTCCGGCCCGCCGTATACATGAGCGTCTTCCCTCTCCCGGGAGCCCCTCGAATGCCTGTCGGGAAAATGTAAAGCCCCGACTACTGGGCTGGGCATCAGTTTTCAATCTATTATTCTGGATCAGCAGTCACCACAATGTCCGTAGTCATTATGAGATGCTCCCGACATAGGAAGCGAGCTCTGTCTGCTTGTCCGAAATGACTGAATTAATGCTGAATGAATCGATATCTGTACTATTGAGCGGTTCTTGAGCTCTCCGATGTTGACGGGGAGGAATCCGAAGGTTCGGGCCACGGGGGCTCTCGAGGAAGGCTCAACTCAGATCCTGTGGAATGCAGCGGAGGATTTCCACCGCAGCTCATTGAGAAGTCCGCGATCCGCAGAGGATGCCTCGTAGTGTCATCCGGAATGAAACATTCCACGCAGATTCGCCCTCGCGATAGCATCTCTCCCATTCGGACGGTCTCTTGAGTAGCTCCTGCCGAACCAACTCAATGGATTAGAGCTATCGGATGTCTTTGGATACATTACTCCGATGAGCCAACTGCCGATCTGAGCTGTCCGGTGTCATGTTGAGGAGCGCATCGGGCTTGAATGCCGGAGACTATGACAACGAAGGTTTCTCCCCTCAAGCTTGAAGGCGTCTCTCCGGATAAAGGAACCGTCCAAGTAAAAGCGACACAAAGGCGTTTTTCTGCGAGTCGATCCGACCGAAAAAGCCCATTTAGTTTGTCGAACAGGCTTCGTCTCCTCAGAGCCCTCCGAAGCCCCCGTGAAGTTTCGTAATCAATGGAAAAAACGCTTGACAGCGGATGTCGAAGAAGACAACGAGTCAAGCAGCTCGTCACCAACTCGCTCACTTACCAAGCGCGTTTGTGAGCGATTTGAAGCGACTTCCTGAAATCTTCTTACACTTTCAGGCTCGAGCTCTGGCCCTCGCTTCACTGGCCCGTAGACCGCGACAACAGACACGACGAAGACGATAACTGCGACAAGCAGACGAAGATAATGACCGAGTCTGAGGAACATTTTGCTCAAGATAAGAAGACAAAGCGAAGAAATCAGCCGCTCACCCCAGCGAGATATGCCTCGCATGAGAACAAATGGACGCGAGATAAAGCACATACATATCTTAAAACGTGAATGAATCTAACGAAGTTGTCTTCCTGTTGATTGTCCGAGGTGGAGATGAAAAATATTGTCCATGAAGCAGCGGGAGGGGGAATGCATGACTCTTTTGAGTCTTCCCTCCGAGATCTTCATGAGAGTTCTCCGAAAGGGCGAAAAGCGGTCAGAGGGCTTTTCAGCCGAGAAAAAACCATGAAGACTGAGGAAAACTTTCCCGTCGCCGGAAGCGAGGCATTGGACCATGTTTCTGGAAAATGATAATCATTCATCACGAGTTCAGGGGACCTTCGGAAACACCGGATCGCTAAGTCACTGTGTGGGTGGATGAGTGGCGGCACCCGGAGACGACCTCGCGGCCCTGATCGGCAACCTCGACGAGACCGTCGAAACGACGGGCGATTTCCCGTCCGAAATCCCCCGCATTAGGAGATGCGCTCTGGGCGACACGGCAAGGTACGAAAGCTCTATCTGAATAATGAAAATTTCGCGTGAGGATTCCGATCCGTCAATGGAAGTCTGGGCAGACCGATACGGAAAGCGTTTCACGAAGATTGGGGAATTCCGTTCGTTTTTCTGGAGTTCCGCGACGCGCTGCGTCAAGGTTCGATCATAAATGCCGAATACTCACAAGTAAACATTCTCTTCCTTCAATCCGGGCTTACGAAGATGGGTATGTTTTTCGAAAGTCCCAAGCCTAACTAAGAATAGTATGAAGTATCAGCGTCAATCAGCTCAGGGTTCGCGAAAGATCGAATTTTGAACTTTTCCACCGGGAGCAGTCGTCGAAGTTGGTAACATCGTGAGTCCAATTATTCTTACTGATCTATGACGAGCAGAAACGTCGAAAAAAAAATCGGAAGAAAAGGGAAGTTCAGCTTTCTCATGGTCCGAATCCTGACCCGATGGAGTTTTATCAGCAGTACGCAGAGAGGCGGGCTCTCTCATCATGCCGGTCCGGACTCGAGGCCAAAATACGGGAACGTTCGAAAATTCCCAGCTTCGACGACTCCTCCCCATGGAAAAATTCAAAATTCGAATTTCGCGAACCATAAGCTGACTGACGCTAATACTTCATACTATTCTCAGTTAGGCTTGGGACTTTCGAAAAACATACCCATCTTCGAAAACCCGGATTGAAGAAACAGAACGTTTAGTTATTAGTTCGTCACTCGCGCTTTGAAAAGTGAGCCTCGACCGCCCATAATGGATCCTCGATCTGCTGAGTCTCCTCCTCTTCTGCCATTATTGTCCTCACGCGAGTCCAATTCCATTGAGAGAACTCAGGCGTCTGGACTCGGGCCGGAAATCTCAGAATGCTCCGACTCCCAGGATACTGTTCGCCCCGCCTGGAAAAGTATCATGATGGGTCATAACCGTGGCTTTGAAAAACCCGACTGGGGGCAGAGCCGCTGTTTTCTTTTCGTGGGCGATTGAAGGGTGCGCGGCACGTAGCCATCGCGCGACTCCCAGCATTTTATTCAGGCTTGTGGGAGTGCTTCGGGTGGGCCAATTCAATGCGGCCGACTTCCTGAAATCATTGCATAACGTGCAGTAGAAGGAAGTTTTGGCGCTTTTCAGCTCAGGGGTTAACTCACGACGGAATGAGTCACAACGTCGACGCCGACTGGCTATAGCGACGGCAGCAGCCACGACGACCAACCACCGCAAACTGATGGGGAGCGAAGCCCAGGAGCATTGTCTTACGCTCACACAAGCGGTCCGCGGCCGTCCAAACATCGCCGGTGAAACGTCACAAACAATGACGTCAAAATGCCACCACCGCAGCAGCTTGTTACATTCAACGGCGAACGCCTGGTTCGCCGCCTTCTTCGAACGGCTGAATGGGAGAACCGTCTGATGTTACGTATGAAATTTCTAAGCCGAGCGAATGCCCTCCCGAGCTTTGTTCGTTTGATAAGCGTCCTAAATCAATTAGATCTTTTTCAGTCGCGGACCCGGAGTCGCGGTCGGTGACACCTCGCCGATCGAAAAACGAGCTGGACGATCAGAGCTGAAAGAGAAATTTTCATAGAGGTGACACTTCCGCTCCGTTTAAGTCCTCTTCTGATTCGTTCGATAATAATGAGACCCCCTCGCGGACGTATCGAGTGGAGATGAAACGCAAGGAGAAGCCGAATCTGACCGAAGAGGGTACATCCAGCTCCGATCGACGGTGGTTTCTCGGAACTCGGAATCCCAACGCAAGCGACACGTCTACGGATCTGCTCAATAGGAAGCTAACATGTCGGCAAATATTTGTCGTCCACAATCAAACATAAGTCACCCTGCCGTAAGGAAGAGAGACGGAACGATTCCTGTTCTTGTTTCCGACGTTAGCTCGCTATTTCGTGAGCTGTCCAATACCGCGAACCAATAGCTTACTTCGCAGAAAGCTGACGGTTCTATTCAGTCACACAGTTATTTCGGAAATAAGTAAGACCGAGATCATCCCATTCTCATGAACGTCTCTCAGATTGTTATTACATCGTTCGATTGTTATCATTCAATCCGATACTGAAGCTCAGCCTGCTTCAAGTTCACAGACCTTCCATGGAGAGTAGCGTTTATGAATCCCCCGGAAGTCGTTCCGGTCACAGGAGAGGGTTTTCTCCTTCATGAGCTTCAGGAGACTTAAGTGCGTACCCTTTTCGGGGACTTTTCTTGGGAAAAAGAATGAATTAGATACTTCCGGAGGCAAAGTGACGGGGCAGGTTCACCACAGAATGTGAGCCCGCTATTCAAGTTATGCGTCCGTTTTTTTTTCAGTTCATGCCCTCGTCTGACAGCTCGTCAGTCCGTCACTGCTTTTGTCAAAAGCTTGCGAATAGCTTCAGGAGATTGCAGGTTAGCGACGTAAGTGAAAGAATGAGATGATGTCACGATTTACAAAGGGTCCTTCAAACGACGAAGAATAACCAAGGGTTTGGCGGACTTGTCGGTCCGCGATCCGGACCGGGGAAATCCACAATTCAGAAACGAGCCAAGCATTTGAACCCCGCGATTGCTTCAGCGATTCTGCGTGGCCTGCTACTCGAGCTGATGAGGCTCCGATGCCAGGGTGGCAAAGTGCTTTCATCAGACCCGACGAATCTGAGACCTGGCCAAAATAAGGGGCAGGGGATACATGCTCCAGAAAAGTTCCTACCGCCAGTTCCCTTTCCGCTGTGATTGAGAGACCGAATGTGAACCGGGACTTCCTCGAAGAGTTTGATGGAGAAGAGAGCCCGCGGAACCTACGGGGGCTCCGGCCCACCAGAGAATGAGCCCAAGCTGCAGCCTCTAAATAGAGGATTCGAATCTGAGAAATTCGAGGGGGAGCTGCAAAGACCGCTCACATTACGACTTCAGCCCTCCCGAACGCGGACGGAAGTGATGATCGCCCCCTCAGCAATGTCGAACGGAAAAGCGGGGCGAACTCATGACTACGCGTTAGCTACCCGTGAGGGAAAGAAAATTCGAGGCAAACTCCGACCTGCATCTCATTCCATCAGAGCTCAAAAAACTACGTTTCTTAATCGTTGCCTGCTCGAGGCCTTTGCGAGGCGTGCCAATAATGTTCGTTTCCGATGACCTTATTAAATCAATCCGACCGTTTGTAATTCCGTAGTTAATTTTATTCATCGGACAGGCAATCGAGCTTTTCATAACGGTGATCGATGGAGTCACAGCTTGCTGAAACGACAATGAAACACGAGGTGAGGCAGAATAATTCGCCACCGCGATGCCGCAAGCGGGACGAACTACAATACATTAACAGTTCCACCCCACATCGATTTCCTCCATCTGAATCCGCATCCCATGCCCTTGACACCGTGTCCGGCCGATTACAGAAAACTTCTTGGTATTTCCCCGAGGTGCCTGCGACCGTTAAACCGGCTCTCTTTGCATAACGGTTCGTGACGAGCTATTTACGCTTTCAATTCAGAATCCTGCTGCAGGTAGTCCCGCTGAAGAACGCTATACAAGGCACTTTCCGTCTCACGAGCAAGATCACGCTCCCTTATTGATGGTGATGGCTAAGTCGAGTATGCGGGAACTCCCAGGAGGCCAGAGAGCGAATGGTCGTTCCGGATTATTCGGGCCGATCACTGCTGGTACCTGAAAACTCGGCCGCGAGCCATCTCGGATACCAAAGCCAGGGATGGCCGTCCTTCCCATGAGAGGCGTACTCGCTCTGCAGCGCCGAAGCCGTCAAACTTTCGGCCATCGCGCAATCTCCTGATAGTCGCTCCCGACGTCGCAGCGGAGTCTTCTGTCCAAAACTAAGTCAGTATCGATTTCGATCAGCTGGTCACGATGAACAACAGGGCTCTCACGGTGATGGGACTGTAGACTCATCGTCCGTTGAAGAGCCGGCAAGACTGCCAATAGTGTCCTCCGGATTTCCAGCCGTCTGCGAAAGTCGGGACAGCGCAATGATTGTCGAATGGAATCGGGAAGTCTCATCTCGAGGTGCATACCCTCTCTATTCGCGAATACCTCGACCAATGGAGCGCAGACGCAAAGCTCAAGAACGTCCCGAGAAGAGCGAGCTGATCGTCTTCGGATAAAGGAACACTTTAGAAAAATTATCCTCTTCTATGAGAGAGGATCCTCGGTCTCATCGCTGCTTCCAAGGATCTCTTGTTGAAGCTCGATGGGGGAGGCATTCCTGGGAATAGAATCTCAGACTACGCGCAGACATTTGGGGGACAACGCCGTATAATGAATCTCGGATCGGGATAATGAGGACGGACGGTTTCTGTCGCGGTCGCCTCTACTCTGGCTGGCTCGCCGGGGAAACTCAAGAAAACCTCTCAAGGCCGAATCCTTTCCCTCAAATATTTCCGTCGGCACCTCGACCCTTCTCTGTGAATCTTCGTCTGGGAAATTTTCTTCGATAATTTTCTCAAGCGCTGGGGCCAGACACTGGAAGGGCCCATTTTCGAGTACTCCATGACTACGATCGCGCGATCTTAACAAACCGATATCTCAAGGTGGAGTAACCGTGTACGCTCATCGCACGTCTTTTGTGCACGGAGCGCGCGAACTTCCGACGGGAACATGTTCGTTATTTCGAAAGATCATTCACTAAACAGGTAGCGGGATGTCGCTGTAACGGTGGTTTGAAGTGAACGTATCGAATTTCGTCCCTGATTATTCGTTGGGGTACCGCACTCCCATGCAACACCACAGTGCAAGTGTCTTGGTGCATGAGGCACGTTTGAAAGCGACGATTCTCTCTCATTGATGACTTGAGTTGGAGAACTCTCTGGAATCAAAGTCAATTAGGACGGTGAGATGACTCGGATGATTACCGAGGAAATTCGAAACTTCTCTCGACTTTGTGCGCCGAATGCAGTAGCCAGGTAGTGCGCTGGAATCGAAGAGGCCACATGGATAGCGAATCCCCGAGTCGATGACCTCTCGTCTTCGATTCGAGAGACCCGAGCTTCGTCCCCCGAAGTGTTGTGCTTGCGATGTGATTTTACGTGGGTTCCAACAACGCTCTCTTTTGTGCAATGCCTCGCTTCAGATGGTCGCAAGATCAGTTGGTCGTATTGGAGAATCAATTCCGAGTGTCTCGTTGCATCGGATCAGAGCTGCGCCAGACACTCGCAGCAAGATTGGGTGCGCAACCGTCACAAGTTGCGGTGGGTTCCTAGCGGTACTCCGTGATTTTTATCATCCTTCTTTTCGACCGTTTCTGATCCTTCGAATATTCGACCGTTCGCATACGGAACGAGATCGGGGAGCGTGTCTTACATTCTTCCGACTAGCTCTGAATTGAGCGCACCCGGAGGCTTTTCTTGAATCCTCCGAAACGCGATACTAACGACTCGACCGCAACCCTGAAAGATGTTCAATTATTCTCCAGAACTGGTTCCTGAATCGAAGAGTGAGGGAGAGACGTGCGCATAGTGAGTCAAGGCGCCCTGCCCTGCAGCCCCTCCGCGATCGTGAAAGAGGTGTCGAATATAGAGAAGAGTCGGATTCCAGTAGCAGTCACGCGGAGAGCGTGGACACAGTCGTCAGAAGCGATCCCGTTATTGCCATCAAACATTCAAAACGTTCGAATGTTCGAAACGCCCTCCCAGCAGCTGGTTCTCATTTCGAACTGCACGAGCCCTCGGAACGTGGCTCTCCTGAAGATTTGAGCAACGAACAATTTTTTATGGAAATCCGATCGGAACAAGGAACGAAACAGCTATCGCAATCGGTCGGGGGAAGTGAAAATCGAATCATGATCGGCCATGACTATCGGGGCTTCGAAGAGGAGAGGGTCTGGAGCAATTACATAACGGATTTGATCCTCGACATGGAAAACGATTATGGAAGCCCATACATTATAGACGAGAACACTCCGCCGCCGAATCAAGATCAAAGATCAAACTCTGTTTTTCTAGTTAAAAGGACAGTTGACAAGAACGCGGCCCTAGAGAACATTCTGCGTTTTCTTCACGAATGAAACGCGGGTCTGCGCAGACTTAGGGATAGGTACCACGGAATAGAAACTAGGTACCACGGAAAGATAAGCTCAGAACTCGAGCGGGTAATCGCTACTCGCAAGCTAATAAAATAATGCACGCTTTTGGTATAAATTAAGCCGGAATCGCCGTATTTTTTTCTTTCGTTCACGCGGGGACCCCTCGAGACGCTGGGCCTCCTATGGAGCGTCAAGCCTTTTTTTGAGAGAAAGAGGCAGAGGAAAGAAGATTTGAGCG